AAGGAATTTTGAATGAAAATCTGCTGACATGTGATGTAGCTCCTATGTAGTCCCATCCCGTCAGCTGAAGCCAGCTGCTTTGACAAAATCTAAAGTCACTGCGACAGGAAGGAGCAATCAGTCTACCTAGGAGAGCCACGTAAAGATGGGGAGGTACTATGGTTTTCATCCAAAACTATGTAACTGGCATTGTGGTGGTAGCAAGAGTGTGATGTGATGAAGTGTGTGTGTGAAGTGGCGTGGTGGTGGTGGGGGACCTCTGAGAAGGGGTTGGGTTGTGAGGGCCCTGCTGTGGTGGATGTGCTAATGCAGGAGTGTGCTCACCTCCCCACACGGGTGCAGGTATGCCTCATATGGCGCCTCCTGCTGTTAGTGTCCAGCAAGACGCCCTTGCCTAAAGGCCCTGCTATGCCTGCCCCGCTTCCATCCCTATGAGAAGTGGGCTTGTTTTCCTCAAAAACGACCCAGGCTACACAGAAAGTCAGATATCACGTGTACCACATGTTCTCCCTTGGAAGTGGGAGGTTAAACTAAAATGAATAAATAAATATCTGGGCATCAGCATTGCTGAAAGTGTAGTTTTGTAAAACTGATATATATATATTTGTGAAACCAAGCATGAAGAATGTTATAGTACTATAGTTTCAATGATTTATGATTACTTTAAAATCTATTGTGAGTTAATTTAAAAAAAAATCATGAATTGTTGTATGCATTTCCACTGAACTAGGGTCTTTTTGCTTTGTACTTGTTCAACTTATTCAGTGAAGTAGTAAGCCCTCCCCCCATTTTAAAACTGCAATGTAAACTCAAAATATGTTATCTCAAAAACTGAAAAAAAGAAGGAGAGAAGACAGGGGATGAGAGAAAGGGAGAGAGAGGGAATATCCTTGTTCTTAGAATTGTATCCACAAACCATATTACATCATAAAAGCTTACCAAAAGATTTTAAAAACTCAAATGACCTGGGCTGTGAGATTCTGTGACAGGAGTGGAAAGTTGACTGAGATGAGAAAGACATCAGCATCAGCAAACAGTAAAACCTACAATGTCACATGCTGGGTGCGTGGTAGATGCTCGGATCACTTCAGGATGAATTTCATTTAATAGAATGAAGCAGCTGTTAGCAAAAGCCAGGGGGAGGTTCTTTGCGCAGAATAAAGTTCAAATCAGAGTTGATAAAGTGGCAGGGTAATCTGATTCCTAGATTCTGCTTGTTTCTCAACGTCTTAAACATTTGTGACCATCTTGGCATAAGTGGGTAGTACCCATTGTCCCTCACTATTAAGGTTAGAACCCAAGGGACAGACTACAAAGACAGTGGACCTCAGCAGGCAACTAGTGCTGTATTTTTTTTTCCTTGAGAGCTGATTCAAGAAGCAGCAGGAACAGAGACACTAGATCAAGTCCCAGATTCAGGGCTTAGTAGATGTGTGGCCTTAGGCAACTGATCTGCCCTGTGCCTCACTTCATTTTTCTGTGTAGTAGAGATGGAGATATTATTGACTTGTCAGCCTAAAAAAACTTTCTCAGAGGGCCTGGCTTAGTAGCCTAGTGGCTGAAGTCCTTGCCTTGCACACACTGGGATCCCATATGGCTGCCAGTTCTAATCCTGGCAGCCCTGTTTCCCATCCAGCTCCCTGCTTGTGGCCTGGGAAGGCAATCAAGGACGGCCCAAAGCCTTGGGATCCTGAACCCATGTGGGAGACCTGGAAGAGCTTCTGGATCTTGGCTTTGGATTGGCTCAGCTCCGGCTGTTGCGGTTGCTTGGGGAGTGAATCAGCAGATGGAAGATCTTCCTCTCTGTCTCTCCTCTTTTCTGTATATCTGCACTTCCAATAAAAATAAATAAATATATATAAAAAAAGATCTGCCTCTCTCTCTCTTCTCTCTCGGTAACACTACCTTTAAGACAACCAAATAACGTTTAAAAATGTCTATTTATTTATTTTGACAGACATAGTAGGTAAGGCAGAGAGAGAGAGATTTTCCATGTGTTGGTTCACTCCCCAGAGAGCTGCAAGAGCCAGGGCTGGGCCATGCCAAGCCAGGAGCCAGTAGCTTCATTAAGGTCTTCCAGATGGTAAGGGCCCAAGTACTTGAGCCATCTCTTGCTGCTGCTTTTCCCAGGCACTTGAGCAGGCAGCTGGATCAGAAATGGAGCAGCCGGACTTGAACCGGTTCCCATATGGGATACTGGCATTGCAGGCAGCCAGCCTTGACCTGTGACAAAAACAATGCTAGCTCCTAAGATAAACATTTTAAATTGCCATCCTCCTTTCTTCAACGTGACATTTGTGGAAAAACAGAGTTAAAAGGTAATTCAAAAGATAAATGTGTATTGGTGCAAACATTTTTCAAAGTCCCTGCATAGCTTTTTTCATAATAGGGCTTCTGTATGAATTATTTTGGAAGGTCTTCCTACATTCTCTTCCTTAGGCTAGTGTTAGCTGGTCAGGTGAGGCCTGACGCTGCTGCAGATGGCTGTTCTAGGTGGAAAGGTGCTCTTGGATTGTAACTGTGTGGTGGCAGAAGACTGGGAGCACAGTGGGCTTGCAGATTCTTCACTGTGGGTGATGAGTGGTGATCTCATGTCCAGGTGGCTGTACATAGCAGTTCGAGGCAGTGCTCCGATGGCTGGAGCCATTTGCTGGTGCTTTTCTCCATGCGTCTGGACAATGACAGAGGCAAGCTGTTCTTGCTCTCTGTGCCCCACAGGTGCAGCTGTGTCCCTGATGAAAAGTCTCCATGGGGGACCCATCTCCTTGCAGGCCCAGCGCCATGTTGCCTCAAAAACTAGAGGGAGTCACTTCCAATTACCCTATGCCTGGCAGAGCAGAAAACCCCGTGCTGACCAATCTGTGTCTTCTGCTCCACTGAAACGCAAAGCCTGATGATGGAATTCCTTCCAAAGTAGACAACAGAGCAGGGCCCTGGGTTAGGTCCTTCAGGAGACGGACTTATTTTAAGATTTACTTACTTTTACTGGAAAGACAGATTTACAGAGAGAAGGAAAAAGATTTTCCATCTACTGATTCACTCTATGAGATCCTGGCACTTGCAGGTGGAGGATTAGCCAGTTGAGCCAGCCGTCCCCTCCCCTGAAATGAACTTTTACACGGAGTTTTTAGCAGAAGTGACTGTGTTCTCAGTCTTCATGTTGACATTTAGTTAGAGACAGTGTATGACTCTCTCGAATCTTCTATAAAGTCACCTTTTTAATCTAGAAAGGGGCCTCCTGCTCAAGGCCAAGGTAAGCAATGCCTGCTGGAGACCCAGTGAATGAATCTGTGGATCCAGCTCACCAAGCCCGGGCTTGAAGGGTTGGGTTAGGGGAAGTGTCCATCCCTGGTTTCCCTAAGAGGTGTGCACTGGGAACAGGTGGCCAGGGTCTTTGGGATGACTTTGAGAACAGGCAGCAGCATTTCAGTAACTCCCTCTTTTGAACTCTCACATTCTGAAATCTAAAACAAAATCTGCCACTGGCGGGTGCCAGGAGCTAATTGTGGGACAACAGACAAAAGCAGGCGAGTGTGGGCAGCCGATAGCTCCAACAGCAAGGACAATCTTTGGCTACTGACCTCAGGACCCTGTCACCCAGTTTGTCCTGCACTCCTTCTCCCTCTGCAGGTTGAACCCCATCCATAATGGTGGGGGGCAGGGCAGGGCACCCTAGCTGGCAAATGGAGGCAGCTGCACACCCCACTCAGGGACATGGCATCAACACAATGTGCCCTGCCCCCCTGCCTCACAGTCAGGGTACCGCAGTTCCGAAGCATTGTTACCAAATCAATTTCCCCGTCTAAAAAGTCTAAAAAGGCTGTGAGAGGAGGGGACCCTTCTGCTGGGTCCAGCCCAGGCCCACCTGTCACCGGGCCCTCCTCACCAGTGGCCTCGCGGTATTGATCTCCCTAATCCCCTCTCTTTGAAACACACAGCCAGCTGATGCGGAGTGCTCAAAAGAAAACCTCTCCCACCGCCCCTACCTCTACAGGTAGCAGGCGCTTCCCCCCACCCCGCCCCGCCTAATTCCCCCTCACAAGTCCTAATTGGCTTATGGGGAGCCTGAAAGATCTGCCCAGAGTTAGCGAAGAGAAAGGGGGGCGGGGGAGGGCAAGACGGAAGCGGAACACCCTGGTCGTACGCGTTTCCCCACGGGAATCAGGTGCGTTTTGATTGTTTGGAACCAGGACTGGAGGTTGGGTGGGATAGTGTTACACGTCAGTGGCCGAGCCACAGGGGCAAGGAATGAAGGCGAACCCGAGACAGCAACATTAGGCCAGAAACGTGGGGACTTTTTTTTTTTTTTGGTTTAATTTTAATTTGTACTTATTTTTTGTTTCATTTACACCGACAGTCTTCAGCACTAAAACGTAAACTTTAATAGCTCATAATAATAAATTCTTTATGTACAAAAATACATTTTCATAAGAATGAAGCATCTTGAATAAATTAGAGGACTCGGCAGCCTGGTCCGAGCGGGAGCGCGCCTGCGGGAGTGGGGGTCGGTGCGCACTACGCGGAGCCCCTCCTTGTCTGTGCCCGTCAAGCCTTTTCATTGTCTTGTCAGCCGGCTCGAACCGAATTTTCATGCTCGTTTTTCTTCATTAGAGTTCTACAAATTGTAAAATTGACTTTTCACCTCGTCTTCGGGGCCTGCTCTGTCCCTGTTTGGAATCACACTGCAGCGGTGGCTGGGGTCAGCTCGGAGCCCGCCACAAAGGCGGTTTTGTGGAGTTGGCAAAGTGCAGAAGCCAAGTCCGTCTGGGCGCGGGGCGGGGTGGGGTGGGAGAGCCACAGAGCGCCCCCCTCCGGGTGGAGCGCTGCACAGGCACACGAGGGGGCGGTGGCCCGTCGGCCAGGGCGCAGCGACCCGGACGAGCGGCTCCGGGATGCACCACCCCTTCAAGCCGCCCGCTATTGGAGGGGGCTGCGGGGACGTCCTGGCTGCTGTCTGCGGCCTGCGGGCGCGGGGGTGGCCACCGCGTGTACTGTGTGGTCTAGTGGTAAGGAACGAAGCAGGGCGTCGTGTGCAGGAAGTCCTTGGGAAGATTGGGGAAGGAGAAGAGAGAGTCGCCGGGGCCGTAGGCGAAGTCTTCGGAGGCGGCGGGACTACTGGGGTCTGAGAGCGGCGAGGCGGCTGCGGCGCAGGGGGAGGACGCGGCCGCCGAGCCCCAGGACTCAGCGTCACTGGCGGGGCTCGGGGGTCCGGGGAGGCAGGGGGCGCAGTGCGGCTGCAGGAGGCGCTCCCGGGCGCTGCCCCCGGTCAGCCCTTGATCTGCCAAGCGCAGGGTCTCGGCCAGGGCCCAGATGTAGTTGTAGGCGAACCGCAGCGTCTCGATCTTGGTGAGCTTGGTGTCGTCGGGGAAGGATGGCAGCACACTGCGCAGCGCGTCCAGCGCGGCGTTCAGGTTGTGCATGCGGTTGCGCTCGCGGTCGTTGGCCTTGACGCGCCGGCTCCTGCGCAGCGAATGCAACAGCGCCTCGGAGCGCACGCGCGCGCGACCGCGACGCCGACGCCGCTCCTGCTCGTGGTCCTGAGCGCCCGGAACGACTGCCGTCCCGGAGACCCCCGACACGCCCCTGCGGGCCGGCGCGGACGGTCCCGAAGCCGAGGCTGGCTGCTGAAGTCTGGCACAGTCGTCTTCGTCGGTGAGGAAGCCGGACAGATCGCTGCTGATGCTGCTACTGCCGCTGCTGGCGCAGTCGAGGTCCGACAGGCAGGTCTCCAGACGGGCCGGCATGGTCGCGCTGCGCAGGACGCACGGACGGAAGGGAGGGCACCTAGAGGACAGGAGCCCGGGCTGAGGGCACGGCTGATGGGGCGCACTTACGTTCAGAACGGCCCGGGGTTATTCTGTGCCCAGTGAAGGCGCGAGGGTCTGGGAGAGCGCAGGGGCACACAGGGAACTTGGCCTCGCCTGCAGGGACCACGCGCCCGCCTGGTCTCCCGAGTGATGTGGCGGGTGATCAGATCAGCTCGTGTGAGTACCGAATGTGGCACACGACCGGCCTCAGGACCCCTTAAGTACCCGGCGCAACAATGGGAGCCTCCCTCACCCCCCTCCCGCCACCTTCACCCCTGCGGCAGCCCCGGTGAATGGAGCGCGGCGGCAGGTCAGCCCCGTGCGGCGCCCGCGAATTTGCATAATTTATGCTCACGGGAGGCCGCTCGCGCCCCTTCCCTGGCCGGCCGGAGCGTGCCCGTAATTACCGCCGGCCAATCGGCGGCGCAGCCAGGCCCCGGGAGCCGGCGGAGGCTCAGCCGGCCCGGCGTCTCCGGCAGTGCCACGGAGGCGGGGGCGGCGGTGATTAGCCACCGAGGCACGCTCCTCCGGGGCGGGCCGGGCGCCCCTCGCTGGGCTGGGTTGGGGTGGGCTGGGGAGGCGGGGCATGGGCCGGAGTGCGTGAGCTAAAGCCTCAGGCTGCCTGAGCCTAGAGCCTTGCATGGGAGTCTGGATTTGCGTCCCGTTTTCTGCGGCTTAGTGGTCGCGTGACTTCGGACAGGAGGCTTAACTTGGTTAAGCCTTCCTTTTCTCATCTCTGAAATGGGACTCTGGAAGGCTGATGAGGAGATGTGGGACGCTTGGGTTGGGTGCTTTCGTGGACCAGCGGCGAATAAGTGATGGCGAACGGAGCAGTCCTCTGAGCCCAGGCAAAAGGACAGAAGCACGGCCTGCTCCACCCAGCCTGGTGAATGTCTGTTAAGCGTCACATCGGGGCTGAAGGATTGAGGGAGAGAAATGATGTCCGTGGGCTCACCGGATGCCCTCTCTTTTGGCATCTGAGACCTGTTCCCCTCTCCGCTCCCAGAATTCATGTGCTTGCACCCCATCGCGAGCTCCCTTACCCCCTCTCGCCAACGGCACTCACCTGACCTGGGAGGGTGGTGAGCACGTGGAGGAGCCCCTCTCCCAGAAGCTGCTACCGTCCTTGGTGCTGTAAACTCAGACATTCCAGGTGTCTTCAGGGCAGGGCACGAGCAAGTCGGCTGTCCACCAGTCCGCACTGGCAAGCAGCAGCGGCCCAGGCAAGACTGTTCAGATAGCCACTGAGGAACAGTATTGGTTGGAGTGGGAAAGGCATTGAAAACAAGGGGATACCTTTAAACTCAGTCCATGCCTGCTCCCCATGGCATCTGGGTGGTGACCTGGGGCCAGGGGCCTGGCCATCAAAGCCAACTCTCCCCCGTTTGGAGACTGACCAAGTGGTACTGGAGTGCTGGGGATTCCTCCTTTCCTCCAGCTGCAGTCTATGAATACCCTCCCTTGGGGAACAAATGTGGTGGACTAGCTTTGGTACTGGGGTTTGAGCGTCTGTGCAAGTCATAGGAAGTAGCCTCTGTCACCTGATGCTGGGAAGGACTGTTGTTGGATGCTTTCTGGATACATTTGTGAGGGCCAGCTGGAGCCCAGAGGCCTTGCTGCCCTGGGCCTGGTTTTCTTCTTTGGGTGCTTTCACAAGGCTTTAATACAGTGCCACCAGCCTGCCTTAGGACATCTGTGGGACCTGGGCTCTTATTGTCTTGAGCTGACACAATACCATATACCGTGTGTCTTGAGGTCCCAGTTTTATTCCATCTTGGCTCAGATGGCGCTAAGTTCAAAGCCAGGGTGTCTCGGGGTGCCTTTGGGGGCCTCTCTCACCCTCGCTGGGTCTGCCTCACCCTGGTCTTGCCTCCTGAATCCACGTGGCCTTCCTCTGTGTCCTTGTGTCTTCTGCCGTTCTGCTCCTTTAAGGACACTTGTCATTGGATTTAATAAGGCCCAGTTCATTCTGGGTGCTTTCTGCTGAGATCCTTACTCTAATTACATTTGCAAAGACCCTCATTCCAGATAAGGTCACATCCTGGGTTTGGGCTGGATATATCTTTTGGGAGACGAGTCTTGAACCACTGCAGTCCCTTTTTCCAGACTCCTGGAGGAAATGTCTAGCACAGACGTGGATTGCTCTGTCTAGAGTAGATCCATGTCGGCTGTTTTATCAGCCTGGTAGCTGAATGGCCTTCCGTTTGAGAACTTTGGGTGTTTGGTCACGTGGTTTTAGGTGTAGTCCATCAGGTGTCCCACTGGAATCTAGGCTGTAAAAGAGTGACAGGTCATAGTTCCCTTGTGGCATGGCAACACTGTGGAAGAACCAGCGGCCAGTGGCGACAGAGATGGTCAGAAGCCAGCGGGCCTCCTCATGGGATTCTTCCCAGGACCTGCCCTCGGCTGTGACTGTAGTCTCCCTTCTGCCTTCTCCAGCCTTCGCACTCACAGCACAGGCCCTCCCAGAGCAGGCCTTTCTGTTGGGGTCTGCCTGCTCAGTATCTATGGTTTGGCAAAGTGAATGGAAAAGCTCAGTACTCAGTTTGCTGAAACACAAAGACTGACATGCTTGTAACTTTGAGGCAAGTCAGAGACTGCACTGATGGCGTGCTCTGACCTGGCCACTGGGCTGGCAGGTACCCAGAGTGGCTGGCTGATAGGGACCCTGGGCTCCGAGTCATGGAGGCTAGGGTTCAATGTCATTTGTTGTACCTCATTCACAGGAAGCTGAAGCAGGAAATGGGGAAGTCTGCTGACCCTCGCCATCTCCTGACGGTCAGTTTCAGGAATCTTTTCTTCTCAGCCTATTTCCATCACAATCAGCCAGCAAGTGCACACTGAGCACCTCTTGTATGCTATCTTGTGCTGGGCACACAGGCAGGCCTGTAGAATGGGAGAAGGAGAGGGGAGGCCACTGCCAGAAGGGGTGTTGAGAGCCCATGAAAGGGATAGATCTAAAGAGCTCCCTAAGAGAAGTGGGTGGCCAGGGGCCTTGCGAAGTCTTGGAGAGTTGTTGGCATGTGAGCAGACAAACCCAGCAGAAAGGAAAGTTGGAGTGCCTAGGGTGGCAAATTGAGGGAGCAGTTTGAGTGGTACTTTTCTGTGTGGGGACCCATTGAGAAGGGGTTCCCAGGCAGTTGTGGCAGGCCTTGAATGACCATGGGGATCTCTCTCTCTCTCTGTCCTGTCTCCTCCTCCCATGGCTTCTCTGTGAGCAGGGCTGTCAAGTTGTTCCAAGGGTGCACAGAACAAGAGCAGCTGGCCTAGGGACCAAGTAGAGAATACAGTCTAGTCTTTCTACCACCTGCCAGGCCATACCCCTGACCAGAGCCAGGACCTCTTCCATTGACACACTAGGAGACAGCAGGGGTTCTGATGCTCCTCCCACTGAATGAGCTGAGCAGGTAGGCATCCTGGCATTGAGGCAAATGTGTGTTGTGGCTTTTTTGTACACATTAGTACTTGCCCTCTGGGCTTTTCAGAAGTTCACCCTCCCAGAGACCCACCGAGGGTGAAGGTGAGAGCTTTCTGCTGCAGGGGAAAGGATAGGAACCCTTCTTGGGGGATCTGTACCCTTCTCGGGGCAGCTGAAGGTTTATCCTGCCCTTGAAATCCCTCCAAGCCCAGTGCCGGAGTACACCCATGGGAATCCTCATTCTCATGGGATAGTAGGATGTGAAGTAGACTGGTAATAAGCCCTCCGCCTCCCAGCAGGTACTGAGGAGTGCAACACTACACCAGGTGTTCTGGTTACCTGGTGCGAGAGACATGTAGGTGCCATTCTGCTGGGAGGATGTTCTGCAGGACTAGGGATGAAGTCAGTTTCTCACACTGTGGTGGCGAAGGTGGAGGAATCTCCTCCCTAGAGGCCTGGACTCAGAATCTCTGACAATGTTCACCACAGACTGAAGCCACCATCGGTGGGTACCTGGCGCTGGGTCATCTACACTGGAATGGGTTTCTGACTTGGGCACCCTTCTTCCTGAGCTAAATTTGTCTGCAGACTTGAGGCAGATTGGGCATATTTATGTGACAGCTCAATGATGCTATGCCCACAAGAGCTTTTCGTTTCAAGGTTGCTGGGGTTTGATGCCAAGACTGAGGTCCTTCTGTGGCTTTGCCTCCGGTCAACCAGATGGAACCCCAACAGGCATTCTGGGCCAGCAAGTGCCTGCCTGTTCCAGGCAGCCTTGGAGAACCAATGAGACCAGCATTTCTTTATCCAAAGGACTTTCCTAGAGTCTACACACAGGCGAAGGAAGCAGCTTTCTCTAGGATGTAAGCAAGGGGCCTTTGCGGGCAAGAGGCTAGGAATTGGATACTTGCAGAATCTGTGGTGCATCTCACTGTTTTGCATTTATTTCTTCTTAAGTGAAGGCAGGTCAAAACGGGGATACAGAGGTAAGAGGTGAGCATGGTCTAGCACATATGAAGGCAAAGCAACCTGCTGATCACAGGACTATTTCAGGGTTTGGAAATGAGCTTGGAATCATAATAGCTGCAGGTGTGGAGATCCAGAGATCAGTCTGGATTTCATCTGTGGATGAGCATCTTCCTGGTTTTGCGGTGACCATGTACAGACCCCACCTGGCATTGGACTCCACAGCCTTCTAGCTTTTTTGCAGATGCAGGCCTTGGTCAGACGGCCTGCCTGGCGCCTCTAACAGTTTTGCCAAACACAGGGGCCTGAGGTTGTAGATGTGTTATAATGGGAACTAGTTGGCAAGGTTAGTTGTGTGCATACTTAAGTCCTAGGATGCTGATGGAATGTCTTGAACAAGGGAAGCACCATCATATTTCACACACTTCCTCCCTCCCCAAACAAATTTCTTCTTTTTTAAACTGAGAGTGAGAAGTCTCATCCCCTGCAACTGCTTTGGATACTGACTCCAGGAGTGAACCCTCGGTTATGTGCTGCAGGCCCCCTACGCAGC